TACACGGTGACTTCCTTCCACATTCATCTTCGTATTTGAGATCACAGGAAGATCTCAATGAACAGCCCTTTTTAAATGGCTCACGATATGACAGGCATGATTAGGGAGGGGGCTTTGCAAGATGCTCAATAAACTGTCACAGTCTCCTCATACCAACACAGAAGCCTGCAAACTAGATGTCACTAAGTTCATCTATCCTTAAAAGTCCACACTCAAACCTTGCAGGGAAGTGAACCCATGTGGCACCAGAAGGAAGTCTTTGGTGGCATTCCATATTCAACACTTTTTATTGGCTTAAGTGAGCACAAGAAATCATGTTCATTAAGCTGGCAGATGCTCTATAGTTTGAGGGAACTGATAATAAGCAGAAGACAGAGGCTGAGGTCTGGAAGAACAGGCGGAAATGGACAGAGTTTCCATAAAAAAAATAGAGTTTTTAGAAAACTCTACAAATGGAAATCTGTTTTGTTAGGGAAGGGGAGGGCAGTTTTTGTGAAAACTGGGAAACAATGTAAGTATACAAATCTGGGAAGAGTTCCAGACATATCACTAAGTAGGAACTATCATGGCAAAAGGGACCTTAGAAATGTAATAAGCAAAGGGCCTGTGAGATGGCTCATCTGGTAAAGGCATTTGCCTCCAAGCCTGAGGATCCGAGTGCGATCCCTGGAGCCTATATGGTGGAGAACTGACTTCCCCGGGCTGTCCTCTGACCTCCACACACATGTCATACACAGGCAAGATTAATCAATCGATCATCAATCAATGTGATGAAAATGTAGAAATGTGAGCACAAACCATTGTGACTGTATACCTGAGTATACACCTGTACAAGGACAGGTGATCCTTGGCTAATATAGGCTTGTAGCCTAAAACTTCATGGTGAGTTGAAGAAATTCTGAAATGAAAATGTGATTGTCTACCGGGCAGTAGTGGTGCATGCCTTTAATCCCAGCACTCAGGAAGCAGAGGCAGGTGGGTCCCTTGAGTTCAAGGCCAGCCTGGGCAAGTTCTGGGGCAGTCAGGGCTACACAGAGAAATCCGCTCATTTCACTAAGTATTTTAGCTAGGTTTCACAGCATGCTGTAGAGTGCTGGGGTTTTCCTCAAGATCTCAAGGCTAATTAGGAGCTGCAGTCACTGCTATTTCCCAGGAAAGAGAGAGGATCAGACCCAACAGTGCCGTAGCCCAGGAAGAGGTCCACGTTTGAATCAGAGTATGGTTTCCATTAGATGTGCTTTTGCACCATCAAAAAGACATTCAAACTGAACCATTGCTGTTGGGGTTGTGTCTACAACTGTATGGGAAACACCAGAAAGATCTATGTTGAGATGTGAATAATTGAGAATTCTGGGCAAGAAGTGAAATGAGGCTGAATTCTACCTCTGACTTTATTTATTTATTTAATTTTGGTTTTTCAAGACAGGGTTTCTCTGTGTAGCTTTGCGCCTTTCCTGGAACTCACTTGGTAGCCCAGGCTGGCCTCGACCTCACAGAGATCCACCTGCCTCTGCCTCCTGAGTGCTGGGATTAAAGGCGCGCGCCACCACCGCCCGGCCTCTACCTCTGACTTTATACACCTCTGGGTTATTTAATTTGAAATAAAAATGTGTCTCTATGTTTGACATTTACACAAGTGACATTAGTAACCTTTTCATTTAAAACTGACCAAAGGTGATAGCGCTGTTAAAATGTTAGATTGAAATTAGACAGCAACATCTTTCTAGAAGAGTGGCACCATACTGGACACCAGGCACATCTCCCTTCAGTGGGTCACCAGTACAGAGAGAGAGACAGAGAGAGAGATCTGTAAAATATGTGCTGTATTATATGTCAATTACACCTTAATAACTGGTCCTAATCGCAGCCTGAGGATCAGGACTGTGCTTTATTCATTCTTGGAGAAGCTTAAACCAGCTAATACTTACTAGGGCCATATACAGCAATGGCTTAATGTCGAATGAGTGAATGATCAACCCAAGGAATCAAGTCTGCGCTGAACTTGGATCTATTCCCAGCTATTTGCAGAGTGCTCAAGTGGAAACTAGATCTGCTCTTGGTGCTCCAAGTGAGGGCAGAGCAAGGCTGGAATCAGAGCAGGTGTGGCAAAGGAGTCCGACGTAGGCACAGCATGGAAGAGACTCTTAGGACCACAGATCCTCCTGGTGGCTGGCTTGCTCTCATGTGGACAGGCCAACTCCATTTTTGGCCCTAACGTCTTCTTACATCCCCCTGATTCCTGGAATTCATTCCCAGTCTTTTTGTCTCCCTGCCTGAGAGGTTCCTTGTTCCTTGTTTCCTTTAGGTTTCTTCAAAGAGTGACCATCCCACACTAACAGGTATGGGTACCATTCTCTGGTGTCTGACACTCCCTGCTCTCTCTTTCCTATGACACTGGCCTACAGCAAAGAGAATCTATGGAATTTGTTGACATTCAGCCTCCTTCAGCATAAAGGCTCAAGTTCTATGTTTTTTTTTTTTTTTTTTTAATCAACTTCAGTCGCAGGGACTAACAATGCCTGGGACTCAGTTAGTTTTCAATAAATATCAGCTGATGAAAAAAATCATGGGGATGTGAGGAATGGACCAAGGGATCTTGTGAGGCTGTGGCTACATCATGGACTCCAACAGCATTGCAAAAGACAGAGGTGCGGGCCTGTGGAGTTAGTCTTAGCTGTGGGAGGGGGTATACCAGAGGAATTCCAGGAGGCCAGCTGACATAACCACCCTGTGCTTGGACTGCTCTTATTAGCCTTTGATCTTGACAGTCGCCAGAGCTGTGCCCTCTTGACGCCCCTCCCCACCATCCTCCTCCACAGGAGTAAAGGTGATGATCTGCTGCTTTTTATGTTGCTGTGAGGATAAAAGGAGGCAAGACACGTGGTATGCCTGTTGGGTAGTACAGACTGGACACACCTGTAACATTCTTTGTTACAGTACTGATTCTCTTTGCTATTCATTTATTTGTATTTATTTAGTCTTTTTTTTTCTGTTTTGAGATAGTCTTATGAAGCTCAGGCTGGCTTTGAACTAATGTCACTGAGGGTGACCTTGAACTTCAGATTCTCCTGGCTTCGCTTCGTAGGTGTTGAGATTACAGGCGTGTGCCTCTGCCCACCATTCCTATTTATTTATTTTATCCAAGGTTGGAAATGGAACCTATTGCCTGCGTGTGGTAGGCTCGTGTGAGGCATCTTGCATGGAGCTACTTACTCTTCAGCCGTTGATTTTCTTGAGTTACAGAGTGACATGGCTGTCACTTGTCTTTGCACTCAGCCCTCTTTCCCCTCCTGGTGTGGCTGGTCTCAGAGGTCACTGTGTTAGGCTTATTTCAGTGTCAACAAGCACTTTCTCAAGCTTCCAGTTAATTGAGCTTTGCTGGAGACATTCCTATCTAAGATGTCATTCACCATCTCCCTCGGGGTCTATTGAGTGGAAAAGAGATGATGGTAATATCACATTATAGTGGGGGTCTATGTAAATCGCCCCGTTGATTTCCCCAGGCTTGGGAAGTAGTTGGGAAGCCCATTGTAAGGAGAGGCCAGGGTAAGCAGGGAGCTCTCATCTGCTCTGCTCTGCTGTGATCTTTTCGGCATTTGCAAGCTGCTCTCTGGTGAGTCACCGAGTTAGATCCCATGCTACTGAGGCAGCTGAGGCCCAGGGAACCAACAGAACACTGCTGTCCCACTTACAGCAGCGGCCTGCTTCTCAATAGGTGGCACCGTGTTTCCTTTGTCAGTGAATGCCACGAGGGTTGGGGGCATCACCTCTAACCTCAGAGCTCACTCACATGGTGGGCTGCTCCTCAGGGGCAAATTGTCAACTGATAGTTCAGGATGATCGTATTTCAGAAGTTGAGCTTTAATTTGCAAGCTTGTGGCCAGACCTCTCTGTCAGTCCTATGAAGGCATGGTTGGTGGTTTGTAATTATTTTGGCCCTGTCTTTTAATACCTTAAGAGTGATAATCTTCATAATGTGTGGGAGTACAACTAGCCATTTAAAAAGCTGTGGGTTCTCTTTACAGGGTATGGACAGGGCACCCTGGCAGGTGGGAGACTCTTCACTTCTGTTCTATTACCTGAGTGGAAGTGGGCTGAGTTTTATTCTTCTCAAGGCATGTAACAAGTGCATAGTCCTCCATAAAAATATTATCATTGATGTTTAAAATGTTTTTGACAACCTCTGATGGGAAGCTTGTACCTTAAAGGACAGAAGAAGTGTCGGTGTCATCCAGGGGAGAGCTGCATGTAGGCAGTCACTTACCTGGGACAGGCTTGCCTGGCAAGTTATGTCCCATGGGATAGACCTGAGGAACCATAAAGCTGTCTCATGGGCCACATGCTTCTAGACACAAAGGAAATCTTGGAAAAGTTCCACAGAGGACGGTTCTCACATTGCAGACTTCACCATGAAGGTATTTTAATTTTTAAATATGAAGAGTGTTATTTATTTCTTTTTGTAATACTGGTGCTCAAATCTGGGGGACTCATACTTGGGAGACAAGGTGTTTTAGCAGCAACTACATGCTGGGCCCAAGAACCTCTTAAACTGAAACCAGACTGATCCTGTCCCTGTGGCTTAGCATTCTGAAGGCTGTGCTCTAACTCCCACACCTACAGGCCTTAGGATGGGGCTCACTGAGCCCCTTAGAGGTGCTAAGGATTTGGGCAGCCATGTTCTGCCCCTCCCTCTTTACCAATTTTTCTAGCCGCCGGGAGTTTTCTGTAACTAGGGCAGAAGAATCCCAGGACAGTGAGTGGGTAACCTGTGAACACACTCAGGGGATGCTGTAAAGTATAAACTATGAAATATATGTATACACAGATTATTATAGCTGAGGATGGTGGTGTGCGCCTTTAATCTCAACACTTGGGAGTCAGGGGCAGGCGGATCTTTGTGAGTTCTAGGGCAGCCAGGGTGACATAGCGAGACCCTGTCTCAAAGACAAAACCAAGCAAAACCAAAAAAAAAAAAAAAAAAAAAAAGACTATCGATTAAGTTAAAATTTGGTATTCTATTAAAAACCTTGTTTAATTTTAAAGTATACAAAATAATCATATTTTAATAAGTGACATATAAGAGTTTACAAAATTATTTTAGTGACAAGCATGAAACCACAACTCTTATTTATTGTTACAAAATGGCTTCCCAGTACCGTTCTTGGCAGTAAGAAGTGTCCCCCTTGGAGTCGTTGAGTGCCATCTTGTGGGAAACACATTAAGCATAATGGCAATGCTAAGGTTCAACTTGCCCTAGGAGAGTAACATATTAACCTAAACTCTAGTTCTTATTGACCTAAACTCTACTTCCTATTTTTTTCCAAATATCCATATTTCTGTTTCCAGTTAAGAAAGCCAATGCTGAAGAGGGAAGCAAACAGACTTTCAAAGTAGAAAAATTCAGTTTTAATCGACAGAATTTAGAGTCTAGAAGTTCCATTGGTTCTCTGAAAATAGTTAACCCCCTGCCTCCACCCCACTTTGTTTCTGCACCCTTAAATTATACCATGGCAGTGAAACTCCCAAGCGCACTCATGAAGTCGATGTCTTCTGATGCTGGCTGCCACACCCCACAGCTACAGAGTCAGCAAATGTCAGGAGGGAGGGGGCTGAGTTAGGCTCATAGCAGGTGGCAGTTGTTGGCGTATCCTATGTGTCTCTTATGCAAAATGACACTTGGATTTTTAAATTGAGGCCCCTTCTGGTCAGAAGCCAGCACAAAAAGCTTCCAGTTTGTCTCATTTGAGACAGGTTGTGATGTGTTGCGCTGTATTCAACACACTGATGGTGGATACCGTAGGTGGCCTCTCAGCCACACTGCAGATTTCCCGTAACCAAAGGCCAACGTTCTAAAGACCTTGTGAGATCTGACTACACACCATGTTCATATCACAAACTGAACCTTCGAAATAGGAGGAATGTATAATGGTTTCCAGATCATTTTGAGAACAAAAGAACCTATCTTATTTTAAGGTTTTCATTAAAAAAAAAAAAAGACACAGCGCTTGAAGTATCAAATAAGTTTGTCCATTACTGCAGACTTAAACTATCAAAGCACATAAGAGTGGAGATTCTTTTCCTTTAACTGGGGCAACTCGGGGAAGGGTACCCTAAGGGAGGCCCAGTGAACTTGCTGGGTACCTTCCTCAGGACTGGACCCATCTCTCCTGTCCTCAGAGAAAGAGAAACAATGTGAGATCCTTTGTCTAAACTGTGAATGTATCCTACAAGAATAGTCGCTACCAGCCCGGAGTCTCAGTGGAACTAACTTTAGAACCGATTAATACAGGCATAGAATTGGGCCTTTGTTTGGGAGCTTTGGGGGAAGGGAGTCCCATAGAGGCCTCTGGAGTCCCATGGAGGCCTACAGGGACTTCAAATGGTGGCATTTAAGATGAGAATGTTTGTCTTAGGAAATGCTGGTGGCTGAGCTTTGACAACTAAGCACAGGTTGCCTGATCCTTTTCCTCCGTCTTGGCTCTAGCAGCCAGGCAATGCATTAAACTGGTCTTTTTGACTTTCCTGAACAATATCTAATGAACAAATAGCACAATTCTGTGATATTTAGCAGGATGCAAATTCCAGATACCGAAATCATGAACACCGTGAAGACAGTCTTTTCTGTGGGCCTGGAAATGAAGCAGTCCACTGTATTAGGACAAGGCCAAGCATTGCATTTCACTAGACGCTGCATGAAGAAGCCATTGTACATGATGTAAAAGACATACATGAAGACAGCTTCGAAGATGACCCGGAAGAAGATGCTGGTGGTGTAGGTCCACCAGAGGGACCCTTCGATACGGACCTTCTGGGTTTTGATCTCTTCAATGTCCTTAAACTCATTCTTTATCTCTCCCTTCATGAACTTCCTTTTCTTTTCGTGTCTCCTGTAGGCCACATGCATGGCTACCAGGAGGGCTGGCGTGGACACGAAGATCAGCTGCAGGGCCCAGAGCCGGATGTGAGAGATGGGGAAGTAGTGATCGTAGCACACATTCTTGCAGCCAGGCTGGAGGGTGTTGCACACAAAATCGGCTTGCTCATCTCCCCACACCTCTTTTGCAGCCACCACGAGGATCATGATGCGGAAAATGAATAGGACGGTGAGCCAGATTTTCCCAATGCTGGTGGAGTGTTTGTTGACACCCCCGAGGATACTCTGTAGCGTGCCCCAATCCATCTTGTCCTCTGGGTGGGTGGCACTAGAAACGACAAATGAACACAAGACAGGTGTCACTCACTGGTCTGGCCAGCATCCAGGTCCTAGCCCTGTTCTGGGGACAGTCTCCTCCAGGATGGTGACAATACAACTTACTTTACCATCAGATTAAGTGTGTAGTTCCCAAACCATCTCTACCATGTGTCTGTGTGCTCTCTAGTACAGTTCTCTAAAAGACACTTCTTCACCTGAGTGATTCATCCAGTCCTTAGCACGTAAAAAAGATGTGGGTACAGGGGTGCACCAAAGCAAAGTACTTGTTAGTCTAAAGGCAGAACTGAGTTCTGACTAAATCCACCTCATGTGTTCCTGTTTCCTTACAGGTCACTCAACAGGCTGTGTTGGCAGCACCAAGCTTTGCTGTGTATCACAGTGACCGACCAAAGCTTGGACCAACTTCACCTTAAGAGGCACAGCTGCCCAGTTTGGATGACAGTGAAGTTCCATGTGACCCAGTACAGTTTCCCTGATATGCCTGGGCTTGGGAGGCAAGGGTGATCTGTCTTTACTAACAGTTACATTTGCATTTGAGATTTCTCAGCTTAACCTTTCACTACAAGCTTGCTTCTGCCTTCTGTATAAGAGGAATAGGGTCCAAAAAAAAAAAAAAAAAGTCTCTGCACTTAGGTTTTTACATTCAGGTTGGTGACTCCGCTGTCCAGTTAGAACTGTTTGGTTAATGTTCCGTATCTGTTTGGATGTGTGTGGCAAGTGAGCTTTGCTACTGTGAACTATGGTTTCAACTTTGACGTGATTCTAAAATAAATAATTATGAAAAGTGGCAGGAAATTTAACTCAGTGGTTCCCCAATTACTGGTCCAAGGCTCTCACCATCAGTCCAGAAGCAAAGTTGCCTTGGGTCAAGAGGTGTGTATTGACTGTGCCCTGGATGATCTTTCAGGAACCAATGCCCTTCTGTTTCATCCCAGGGAAGGAACTGTCCTCTCTGATTCATAGCTACGCCCTGTCTGTCACAATCAAGCCCTCTTTTGACAGGATCCCTCCCTCCTGCTGTCCTGATGAGTCACTTGCATTGCACCCCTTCCAAGCTGTAATGAATCCTCTTGCTCTCCCTTAAAAGCATCCTGCCCCCTGTTGTAGGCAAGCTGTATCCTGTTTCCTAGTGAACTACACAGGCTCAGGGTGAAAGTCCCCCGCCTTGCCCATGGTGGCTGCTGCAGAACACCAAGGTCTTGGTGGGGCCCACTCAACTGTGTCTTGGTCAGAGGAGACAGGGCCATGGGAAGCTGGCGTACACTGGTCCCATCCAACTTGGAAAATGGGAACGCACAGGAAGAAACAGTGGCTGAACAGGTTCAGCCCTGACCCGTTTATACCTAGACTGTTCCGAGTCCCTTAGGGAAGCCGGTTGTCCTTTGAACAGTCTCGCAGCTCCATGTAGTCTGCCCCCAACAAGCAGAAGTATTGAAAGCAACCAGTGTTCTGTTTAACAAAACAATCAGATTGGAATTCGACCTTCTAAGTTCATGTCCACTCGCTGAGTGGAGATCAGGACACGGACTGAAAGAAACATCCACAGACCTGACCCAAAATACAGAACTCATAGGTGAGTGGGGTATGTGCCTTCGCCTGCCTATAGCATCCACAGACTAGCCCAATTATTGTCAATTGGGAAAAATAAACTTCACAATAAAATCTTCACTTGTTTATAAAAATTAAAGTATTTGTTGAGTTTGAGCTTGCTCTGTTACCCTGGTTAGCTTCTAACTCCACGAAGCTGGGGTTAGTACACATCTATAATCCCAGAACTCTGGAGGCAGAGGCAGAAGGATTGTGCTAACTTGAGGAAAACTTGGGCTGCAAACAAACAAACAAACAAAAACAAAAAACAAAACAAAACACCAAAAGAGAGAAGAACAAAGCAAAACAAAAACCAAACCAAAAAAAAAAAAATTAGGGAAAAAGGTTCACAGGATTGAATAAACAAGACCAGGAAAAAACTCCAAGAGAAAACCAAGTACCTGGGTCATAATAGGTGTGGACCCTGGCACATCTGGTTGCAGCTGCTTGTCTTAATGGCCTTTCCAAGATGAGGGAGAGATTAAAATTTGACCTCACAAGGGGCTTGGAGTACTGAGCCAGCAGGGCGAAATTGTCAATATTCAACTGTGGTGTAGGAGGTGATCTGGCCTCTGACTAGGGAGGTCACAGGCAGGTCCCTACCAGGCCTGGGTCACTGCAGATTGCCTGGAGTGTTGCCAGAGTGTGAGGGACCGTCAATCATTAGCTCCCGAAAAGGAGACGGGAGCTTCTCCTTATTTTATATGTAATATATTATATTAATATATATAATATTATGGATATATTATATATACCCTTATTTGCCTTGAAGGGTGCTTTGGGGAGCTGGCGGAACGCCGCCAGACGCTGTGCCCACCTCACTCTCTGCCTTTCTCACAATTGTAACTAACTAAGCCCAGAGTTTCCAAAGGACTCCGGGGTAAATAGAGCCATGGCTGCGCTAGACTTCTCAGGACAGTGCCAGAGACCTGGGCAATTCGTCCCATTTAGGCTTATGCTCCCTTCCAGTGAGGCAGCACCGAGGGGCTGATGCAAGAGTCCCGATGGACACGTTTCCCAGCAGCACACCATCTGCTGAGTCTGTCTGGACTTCCAGCTGCAGAGCCCCACCTGAACGCAAACCCTTAAAAAGCGTTTAAGGAAAACGAAAAGCAATCAAAATCACCACTCAAGCGCAGGCTGGGGTCCCCTAGCTCGAGGGAGCGGCTACCGACGCGCGTTTTGGGCGGTCGCCCGCGTCACCCCAGGGCTTTAGGTGGTAAAGGTCAGTGTCTTCCCACGGAGGCCTCCTGCTTAAACAAATGAAACCGAGTTTTCCTGCTAAGCTTTCGGTTAGTTAAAAAACTTTCAATGGCGGCAGACACCGCAGGCAGGAGGCCTCGGGGAAATTCTAGCAAAGGAACACTGGCAACGCGTCGCAGTCGCGCGCGGAACGGCCTGTCCCCCGCGTCCCTCCCCGCCCCGCGCGGTGCGGGACCTCCCCGCTCGGGCTGTGCGGACGCTTCCTGGCCCGTGCGCAGCAGCGAGCACGGCGGGAGCAGCCGGGTCCAACTCCGAGCCCGGCCAGCCGCTCCAGCCGCAGAAACGCGTTCGCGGCTTGGGTCCCTATCCGCGGGTGGCGGTGGCCCGCGGGGACGGCGCAGTGCGTTCGGGCCTCGGTTTCCCAGGACCGCGGCGGCCCGCACCTCGCCTCGCACCTCACGCGTCCCTACCGGCGGAGACTCGAGCTCCAGCCGCTGCGGGGCGTCGCGATCAAGCGCGGGCTACACCGCTGTGACTCCGGGGGCGCAGATCGGCTGTCGCACCTGTGTCCCGAGGAGCGCGCGGCGCTGGCTGGCGAGAAGCGGCAAGGCGCTGTTGCCTGGAAGGTGCAGGTCCTGAGTGGGTAGCGGGGCCGGTCCCGGCTTGGTCCGGAGTGGGTCTCGGGCTGGTCTTGGGTTGGTCCGGAGTGGGTCGCGGGCTGATCCGGAGCTGGTTCGCCGCTGGTCCCGGCCGAGGCTGCGCTCTGTAGGCGGGAGCGCCGCCGACCGGCTGCAAGTTGGGCGAGCGGAGCGCGCAGAGCGCTGCGATCTTGGACACCTGTCGGCCGCGGCGTCTTTTAACCGCACCCCTCACCCCGCCTCTCTCACCCCGGGCGATTGAGAAAGTTGCAGAGGAGGCGGCTCCGAGTGGCCCGCCGCCCCCAGCGCCGCGGGCGGGGCTCTCCGGGCACCTAGAGCCGTCGGGCCCCGGAACCGCAGGCTCTCCTCGAGCCCCAGCCCCAAGCCCCCTCCCCCGATCCCAGAGATCCAGACTTTCCTGTGTGCAGCCTGAAAGGAGCCTGCAGACCCCGCGTCACCACCCAGGACCCACCACCCAAGGTCGCAAAGCTCCAAGCCCCAGCTCCTAGCTTTTGGGGAAGTGGGTAGTGTTGAAAGAGAGTTGATAATGTCGTTATTACTACTCTCACTAGTGGGAGAGTGCCATACATACACACGTGTACACACACACACACACACACACACACACACACACACACACACACACACACACGTATATGAAAAACGGGCATTCCAAGGAGGTGAAACTTTGTGTCGGCCCGCAGCTTCCATGGCATACGAGGCTCCTCTCCCATAGGGGACCCGCAGCCCAGAGAGCCAGGGCACCTGGAATTCAGGTTTAAGGCAGACTAACAGGGGGCGCCGTCAGGGCTGGCCAAATTCTGGCTTCTATTTCCCTGAATTCCCGACTTAATTCGATCACTTTGAACAGTGTGCCAGTGGCTAGGCCAGGGGGCGGTGTAGAGGTGAGTCTCCAGGGCTGGCCTTGAAGTCTCAGCTTGGCCTGGAAGCAGACATGTCACTGCCTCGGGAAGGTGCTGTGTTTTCTTTTCCACAGCTGAGATCATTGCAAGGAAGGGGCGCCCGGAATCTGCAGGAAAGAAAGAGAGCCAGGTAAGCCCGTCCGTCCCTCTTGGAGTCCAGACTTTTGGGAAGACCCTTGGCAGTGTCTACAGTTCGATTCCCTCTCCGCCAAGCTGGATATGGATTATGAGGTCTGTGTTCACATTGCTTAGCTCTCTGGATAGTTTTGAGAGGCAAATGAAACAAAGTGGACATTCACAGAGCATTTAGATAAGAACTTAAAATATCAAGAGCAGGCTGTGCTCGGGACACCTAGCCCAGCTTCACCCTCCTCAGTTACCTGCGACCTGAGTTTGGGGTGCAAACCTCATGTCCTCACAGGGTTTCCTCAGATCAGTGAAGAGATAGTGATTCATCCTGATGAGGCCCAAGAGGTCTAAGAAATGACTCTCAGTGAGAGGGAAGGAGCTGAGGGTGCTCCCTTTTCCTTGCAAAGCTAGCTTATTGTCAAGCGCAGACCTAGCTTGAGGGGTGTGAGCTGAGGCTACTTACCCTCCCTTCTTTCTGTTAAGTCTTAACCTAAGAGGGGGTGTCTGTAATGAAGAGACAAAACCCCAGGAGGCCCACATCCTTTAGACTGCCTTTCTGAGAGAGGTGCTGAATCAGTGTGTGAAGGATGACTGGCCAAGTCAGCTGGGGTGGTACGACTCCCTTGGCCCGAGCACAGCTAGACATGAAGCCTAGAGGTGGTGAGGTGGTGGCAGCTGGCAGTGGTAGAAGAGTGTCTGTACCTTTAGTTTTTCGTGGGTAGTACAGTTCTAGGCCAAGTGGAACTCTCATTCAGCGACAATGAGAGAAGCTTCGAGAATCATTGCAGGAAGTCGGCTGGTAAAAAAGTTAAGTTGGAGATGAGAATCAACTCACTTTCCCCATTGAGCAGTTTCATCTGAGGTTTTAATGCCCACGTTATGATTATAGGTTCAACGTCTAGTTCCCTGACTTGCTTCTGCAGATCTGCATAATGGCCGTGTGTTGGCTGATGGTCACAGCCGGTGGGAATATTAGGATTTATAGTTCATCTCCTCTAAAGTCCCCACTGAGAACTCAGCTCTTGATTTTCATCTGTTTCATCCAATTCCCCTTGTTTCTTTGTGTTATGTTTTCTTCCCAACTAGACCAGAGGCTCCTCTAGGGCAGGAAATAGTGAATTTATTTGTGCATGTGCATTCTCCAGGGGAGGGGGTTAGGGGAGAGGAGAGGAGAGGGGAGGCTAGAAGGGAGCTGGGAAAGGTTTGACCGTTTGAGATTATCTCCGAATGAAGCTAGATGTGCATCCAGTTAACAGATCACAGAAAAGAATTTGTGCCCCCCTCCACCTCCATTACAAGCATTGCTTTGATAAACTGAGCATTGGAAATAAACCCTACTCTTCTCTCCCTGGCTTTCATGTCTCAGCATACGGCCTGTGAGAAGCTCAGCCCTGGTAACGCGGTGGGAAGGGAGCAGCAGCTCACGGACCAGCAGCTGACCAGCTCACTTTTGTCTTATTCACGTGTAGAAACTAACCAGACAGAGAGAGAACAGGTTTGGTTTTTTGTTTTTGTTTGTTTGTTTTTGTTTTGTTTTGTTTGACTTGGCTTTAAGCACAATCCCATGACATCTTCTAGGCTGTCCTTGAATGAAGGGAACAGCAAGGCCAGACAACGGTGAGGGCTGAGGAGGGGCCTATGAAGTAGCTGTGGATGATTAACCAGCAAGGAGCTCTGAGCCCTGCACCTTGTCACGTTCATGTGTCAAGACAGGCGAGTGTCTGGTTAGCACTGAGAACATGAATGCTCGCTGGTTATCACTTTCTTCATGATGTTGAAAGGTGACAGGCTAATATTTAGGCTACTTAGTATTTTAATTTGATAGTTGTTTTCTGTAAATAAACTCAAAAGAACTCGTTATTGTGCAAGAAATCAGTGCAAGATAAATTATACATCTTGCCATTTTGATGAATGACTGCTTACCGGATTCCTCCTGGAGAATCCTGGGAAGGATGCTCCAACACACACACACACACACACACACACACACACACACACACACACACACTTCACAATTTCTGAGTCACAAATCAAATGCAGGTGATGGCAGAGAATGTTTCAGGACAAGAAAGGGCTTGTGAGTGTCTGGAGTCCCTGTCCCACCACTTGACAAGTTTTCAGATAAGCTGGGCCCATCGATCGCCTTGGGGAGAGACATCAGCCCTTTGGGCTGCATACTCCTTTCCGGAGTTTGCTATTGAAACATTAATCCTATAGGTATGATTAATAAATCATATTCAGCTCTTCCCAAAAGAGCACTTGGAAAGCAAAGGGCCTCTGGCTTCCATGAATAGTTAATAATGACTTACACTTGATAATGTGATGTCACAGCAGGAGTAGCTCTTCTGGACCCTCCAGTCTGTGTGGGTGATTATTACACGAGATGGGCTTTCACTACAATCTCTATTGTTGTTATTTTGTCTTGAGTCAGCTTCTCTAGCCCAGGCTGGGCTTGAACTCCCCATCAGTTAAGGATGATGTGAATTACACCTATGCTTCTGCATCCTTAGTGCTGGCCCCACAGGCCTGTACCTTCAAACCTAGTTTCTTCATTTATCTCTGAGTCATACCATCCCTATGCTTTCTAAAACTTATTATTCTGAAATCATTTAGGAAGAAAAAGCCAACTGTTATATTCAGAGTAAAATTAAAAAGCACTTCAGGCTTTCAACAATTTAACCTCTCCCAAATTAAAGACATTTAAGCCCCCAACTTTTAAGCTGTGGCAGCCTGCTGTAAGTGGCTCTGTTTTCTTTTTTCTTTCTTTTTTAAATTTTAACATAGATGTTCTGGTGAAATCAAAATAGCTGTCTCTCAGCTGCAAGAGTGTGGTGAGAGGCCTCAGTGGCATGGCTGGGTGAGCACGGACTCTTCCTTGCAAACACACCCCTGTGGCTCTTCTGTGGTTAATTGAGCAGACCATGGAAGAATGACAAAGGTCCTTCCAAACATGTTTGTGTCAAAAATACACACATATCCTGTAACGAAGCAACCATAAGTACCGTTGCTGGCCAGTGGAAAACATTCCTTTCTGCTGAACAGAAATTGAAATTCTGTGTGTTACAGTGGCTAGTCAGCATGGAAATTCTGCATCATCCACCAAGGAGCCAATGGGATTTCCGTATTCTGATTTGTGTGACAACAGTATTGTGCCCTATAGTATTTTGAATCTTTTTTGGGATGAGCAAAGGGGGAGGGGACCTCATGTGCTACTGTAGAACAAAATTATAGTCAGGGTTGATAATGGATTATTGATACTTGGTTATTTTATATTTGACAGACAATAGCAATTCTGTGTGAAACACTCATCTACAGTGTTGTGGACTTAAGGTTTTGTTTCCTAGAAACCACTGATCATGATGTTAGGTTTTTGCTCCCCAGGTCCCAGTTCTGGTGTGTCCTGCAACCTGCAAATCTCCCTTTCGAGGACTGAATATGAAATTATTTGGCTTGAGGATTTAAAATAGAGCTTATGTATGTGGTAGCTATTCATTTAAACTTCCCCTTAAACTGAGAAACATTTCCATTTTGGGAGAAGTGTTCTTAAAAGAAAAGGGGGAAAATAAATCGCAGGGCCAGAGTAAAGAATGGAACACAAGTGCTTGTAATACCTAGAGTGCACAGTAGATGGCACTAAAAAGACTTGCCCGGAAGCCCTGTACTGGGAGAATTTTCCATGTATTTTTCTAGTCTAGTGTTGCTGGTCCTGATCTCGTGAGTAGGCTGGGAAATAAGTTGATTTCTTCCTACCCCTTCCTCTTCCCTACCCCTCCCCCTCTTCTTCTTTATGTAGACATGAAACAATAAAAAAGAGAATATCAGAGTGCATTGCTCTTAACAAGGGTAAGTAATGCTTTGTGGGATGTTTGTGCATACAGACCCCCAGATCCGGTGTAAAGTGCATTCCTTGCTGTCAGTATCTGTCACAAGCAAATGTGGAAAGCCCCTGTTCTGTTCCATCTTCAGGGAGACCAGATATATCACAGCAGCTGCAGGTGAAACAGGCTTATAACATAGCGGAGAGACCTGGAGGCTCCAGATGTCACCTCCCACCTCGGCTGTGCCTTAAGTTCACAGCTGACAATCCCAACAGGCCCCTAGCTGGCAAGATGTGTTGTGGGTGGGCAGCTTAAGGACATTCTTCAGGTTGGAAAAGGACATCTGGTCTCTCACACTATACCTTTCCCTCCAGGACTCCCCATTTTGAGCTAAACACAATAGCAACATCTAGCAAGGTCTTTCTTCCCCCACCCCTACCTTTTTATTTTTATTTCTTTTGAAACAGGATTGGCCTGGAGCTTGCTCTGGAGACCAGGCTGGCCTAGAACTACCCGCTTCTGCCTTCTCATGCTGGGATTAAAAGTGTGTGTCACCACGCCCAACCTTTAGGTCTTTTACTAAATAAAAGTTTGTCTTAAAAGGAGTATATGCAGTGCTTTTGATAAATAGCACTGTTACCCACCCATCATTTTAGTGGACTTATGTATGTAAAGAACTACATGGAAGCCTGTGCCTATGTATGATGTGTGCAAGGGTATATGTGCACATTCATGTGAGCTTGTGTGTGTGTGCATATGTGTGTAGGCATGAATGTGGCACAGCTGTGTGTGGAGGGCAGAAGAGCCTCAGGTTTCAGGCCTTGCCTTCTACCTTGTTTGAGGCAGGCTAGCTGCTCAGCAGGCCTCCAGGAATTCTCCCGTTGCAGCTTCCCATTTGCTGTGGGAGCACTGGGCTTTCATAGGTTCTGGGGACTCAAAGCCGGGCCCTTACGCTTGCACACAAAGTGTTTCATTCACTGACCATCTGCCTGGCCCCTTGGAGACTTCCAACATAAAAGTTTTCATTGGATAATGGACTCTGGGAAGAGACAGCAAATGCTGAAACTTTCTATCATCTCCTGGATTTGAAAATGGACGAGTTGGTGAGAAATTTGGAGGACTAGGCTGCTGCTGGTGGTGGTGATTTGGGACTCCCGTGTGCATGTAGCTTACATGAAGATGGTGCTGAACAGTGGGCAGAGTCTCGGCATTACCATTAGATGGGAACAGTCACTTTTTCTGACAATTCCATGATGTGCATGCAGGCTACTGGACTGCTTGGATTCTGATTTCAATTTTGTTTTTTTGTTTTGAGATAGGGTCTCTCTATGCAGCCCTGGATGTTCAGGAACTCTATGTAGACCAGGCTGGCCTGGAACTCTCAGAAATTCCCTTGCTTCTGTCTCTGAAGTGCTGGAATTAAAGGCGTGCACAACCATGACTGGCCTCTTCTAGGCTTTTGAAAGGAGTTTTTGTGCTTACGATTTATCAAAGGAAGCAATGTTGCAGATGTAACATGGCTAAGTTTAGATTGTATAAGTGACATACAGAGTCACACACACACACACACACACACACACACACACACACACGAAAGAATCTCTGGTTGTAAACTGATACAGGTTAGTGTGTTAATCATCGATGCACAATTGGATATTCCTACATGTTCAGATGCTTCATGCTTACCTCGTTGCAGAAGTCAATGAAGAATTCTTGCTTCCTCTTTCTTCTTTCTTGCTGTTTTCCTAAGATGAGGCCTTGTTATGGTATCCCTGACTGCATGGAACTCACCGTGTAGAGCAGGCCGACCCTGATCTTACAGTGCCTCCCACCCCAGCTTCTGCCTCACAAATCCTGGGATAATAAGCATGTGTTATCAGTCTAGCCAAAAGAGTGCTTTTGATTCCTTTCAACAGAAGTAGAAACAAAGTTAAGAATCCAAGAGCTGGGCAGAGTGGATGACTCAATTGGCAGAGTGGTCACGAGAGGACCTGAGTTGGGATCCTCAGCAACTGTAAAACACTGGGCATCTGTAATTCCAGTGCATGGGTGAGGGAAGAAGATGGATCCTCAGAGCTCATTGGCTAGCCAGTCTCACTGAATTGATGATCTAGCTCTCCCTGCCCATCTCTCTCTGCTTCCTGGCACCCAAGAAGTGAGCTAGTTTAACGCTCACCACCATGATGCTCTGTTTGCAATGCAGCCAACTGATCACAACCTCCTCTCCCTTCCCTGAGGATTCGTGGCAGTTATTGGCTGATGGAGAGGGAGAAATGTTTTCTTCAGTGGAGTAGCAACTGGTGAGTTCCCTATGTCCCTGTGACTAACCCTTAGAACCATATTCCTGTAAGGAACTCCACAGAAGTTCATTTGTTCACACATGCCAACAGCAACAATGAAAGCAACAGCAACCCTTCTCCAAAACCAAAACACCAAAACCCTGAGGGGAGAAGGAAGACGAGCTCAGAGGAGGAGGATCAGTGGGCGTGAGGCAGGAACAAGAAGGTAAGGGGTGTGCAAATGGTATAAAAATATTGTGGTGGTATTGTGTTCCCCAGAATATTGTGCACTCTAATAAACTTATCTGGAGTCAGAGAACAGAACAGCCACAGTATTAAACATAGAGGTTAGGCAGTGCTAGCACATGCCTTTAATCCTAGCATTCCAGAGGCAGAGATCTGCCTGGATCTCTGTGAGTTCAAGGCCACACTGGAAACAGCCAAGCATGGTGACTCATGCCTTTAATCCCAGGAAGTAATGGCAGGAGGCAGAAAGGTACTTAAGGTGTGAGGACCAGGAACTATAGCCTGGTTAAGCTTTTAGGCTTTTGAGCAGCAGTTCAGCTGAGACCCATTTGGATGAGGACACAGAGGCTTCCAGTCTGAGGAAACAGGATCATCTGAGGAACTGGCGAGGTGAGGTAGCTGTGGCTTATTCTGTTTCTCTGATCTTTCAGCGTTCACCCCAATACCTGGCTTCAGGTTTGTTTTTATTAATAAGACCTTTTAAGATTCCTGCTACAAAATATACAATATACAAATATGAAAATCATTCCTAATCACAGTGTTCTGTATAATATATATATATATATATATTATATATATATATATACAGATGAAAATGTAAAGCAAAACAAAAATAACTTTTCTGAAACCATGAGACCAAAACCCCTTTCCTCCCGTAAGCTGTTCACCTCAGGTATTTTGTCACAGTGACAGCAAACCAACCCAAATGCAACTATGACTTCTTTTGGTTTTATAATCATATCTTCTCCCAATTTACCATAGCAGTTGGTACATGACTGGAAAACAGAATTAGACAACTTCAAGGTGCTTAAATTCCCGAACCATGTTCAAGCTGACTGCAAGGTAAGCCTCAAGAAATATTTAGCCTGTCTCAAATGCTTTCTATTTCAAACACTGATGAGACCAAAGAGACTAAACATTCCACAGAGTGTGTGTAGGAGGGGATGGTGAGCTTGGGCTAGGAGCCCAGGGGTCCTTGTTTGCATCAGGCTTCAGTTATATACTCACATTATCACTTTGACTCAGCCTCAACTCCACTTTCATCTTGAAATCTGACTGCTCAGGCTGTCATTTTAGCTCCTGGCAGAAAGAAAAGGACTTGTATTCACTGGAAACAAAAAACAAAACACCCTGGAGATATTTTATATACAATATCCATCACTTAGTGAAAGACTGAAAGGTTTGTAAAGAAGAAGAAAAATGAAACCCACAATAAAGAGGAAAAATAATCAATAGAAGTAGATCCACAGAAACGTGGAAATTAAAAGGGTGGAAAACAAGGATAATGTCAATCCAAATCAAAGGGAAGCAGGAATGCTGTATTATTAAAACACAGCTCAGCTGGGAGGTAGTGGCGCAGGCCTTTAATCCTAGCACTCAGGAGGCAGAGCCAGGCGGATCTCTGTGAGTTCGAGGCCAACCTGGTCTATAGAGCGAGATCCAGGACAAGTACCAAAACTACACAGAGAAACCCTGTCTCAAAAAACAAAAACAAAACAAACAAACAAACAAAAAGCACAGCTCAAAGTAAGATGAGCAGAATTGAAAAGGCATTGCAACTAGGCAAAGGGCCATTTCATCAAGAAGACATCAGTCCTGATGGTGGATTCACTACATAGCAGAGTTGCAGAACACAAGAATTAAAACTGGAAATACCAAAGGGGAAAATGACAAATCTGTATTCATAGACTAACAGAATTCATAGAAAATGTTCACAAAAGTTACTAGGGACACAGCAGATCAAAACCCTATCAACTAACACAACCTCATTTATATTTGAGTCCTGTGCTCATAAACTTATCTATGCATAACTGTCTCCCACAAACTCTATCTGTTCTCTTCTAAATCATAAATCTAAAATTCTAAAATCATAAAACAAGTCTCAATAAATTATAAAGAAGGGAAACCATACAGATGTTTATAGAACCAAATTAGATAATTATGTGTCTAGAAGTTACCAAATATTTGGGGATAAAACACATGAATAAAAGAAATAATTATAAGAGAAATTTGAAGTATTTTGTTTTGATCTTATTTGGTTTTGAGCCAAGATCTCACAGTTTTGCCCAGACTGGCCTTGATGTTGGAATCCTTTGCCTCACTCTACAGAGTAGCTGAGATTAATATTTCAAATGGATTAAAGTAAAAACAAAGATAAAAAATTCGGGGATGCACTTTAAGTAATGCAGAGAAAGCAAATGTTGCCTTCCATGTATGTATCTAAAAAAGAAGAGAGGTGATTGCTACATTTCTACCTCGAGAAGTTTCACACGAAGAACGAGTGGAACTCAACGTTGGTATAGACAGGAAGTAAAGGTAAAAGTGTTTAAATTGAGGTCACAGAACCGAAGGGGGGTACGCGTTGACAGGGTAGGAAAGAAATAAGAATGGACTTTTGACAGTGGATCAGGAGATGGTGGTAAGCACTCAGACTGGGAAAGAAAGTGTACTTGGGCGTTCTTGAGTTGCCTAGCAGGTTGCTTTCAGCGTTTGTCTTCTCCCCAGGCCGGTACACCGGGATGTGACATTTGAGGGCAAAAATGTAAACAGCTCCTTGGAAAGTCTTCAACTAAGGCATGCTGTCTACACCCTTCTTCACATCCCCTCTCCTGTCAGAGTCTCTGGTCCTTCCCCTTGTCAACACGATGGCCATCGGCAGCTTGGCCATCTGTATCTGCTCTTCAGGAGTTGAGGAGTGGAGGGTGTGTAACACCTGGAGCAGCATCTTGGAGGGTGCTTGAGGAAAAGAGCCCTTGGTATAACAAGGGCGGGATGGGGGGGCGGGGGAAAGGGGCCTGGTTAGGAGTTCTCTCCCTGCCTCCATCCTGGGAGAGGAGACTGATTGGAACAAGAGCCTTCTTTCAAATAATCACACCATGGTGGGCCTGGACTAATTTCCAGTCAAGGTAAGGAGCAAATGGGGACACTTGGTTCTCATCTGGTGATGAGTTTGGCTCCTGACCTTTTGTGGTACCAAAGGAGATAAGGGAGAACATTTTGAAAGAAAGAGAAAGAAGATAGCCCTAAAAACAAAGCAGGCTGCTGGCAGGGAAGCCATGAGGGCCAGGGCAGCAAAGGACACAGAATGGAGTACGATAAATAGCTAACGAGAAAGGAGACCCAGGAGAGCTTAGCAGATTCTGCAGTGTAGCCTGGCCCTGGAAGAGAGTGATGGCCGGGTGAGGGTGTTTGGAAGAATGACTTCCTGATCGATGGAAGCTGATCACCAGCATTAGGCTGGTGATATTCTTGGTGGTCATGGGTCACCCCCCAGACCCCTCCCTGAAGGGGACAATTTGTGAAAGACCAAACTAATGTTTTGAGTCCATTGGGCTGTAAAGATCTGAATCACTTTACGGTATTTAAACAGTCGTTTTTATTACCCTGTGGCGGAAGAAGACACATTTCCAGAGTGGACATCTCAGGAGGGAGCTGTTTCATAGAACTTACGGGAAATTGCAGCTCTCTGGGTCTATGTAACACCAGCATGAGGATGGCCCCAAGGGGCTTGAGCACTTCTGGGCTTTGAGATTAGAAATTCTGATCAGCAGATCTGGGAACTTCTGGCTTGTGTCTAGGCTCATGTGACTGTTGTGATTTGGTGATTGGACTCAGCGCCTGTGACCCCCCGCCTTAGTCACATGTTGACGTCCTAACAATGTGAGGGTTTTAGGAGGTGGTGAGATGGTGAGGAATTAGCATCCTCATAGGAGGGCGTAGAGAGCCCATCCCATCCCTCATCCCTATGAGAACACAGACACAAACAACCAAAGTAAGGGACGGTTCCTCACCGGAGACCAGTGGAAATCTGTGGTGCCTTGTCGTGAACCACCTAGGTCTCCAAACTGTGAGAAATAAACCTCCATTGTGTTTGAGCCTTGAAGTCTACGGCATTCTATTAGAGCAGCCCCAGACCAAGTCAGCACACTTTTGACAGAGCTACCTTGGAGAACTCGTAAGACCATGATCCTTCCCATGTAAAGTCACAAATCCCTGGGACGTGGGTGAGAAGCTGTGACATGCTTTTAGCCAAGATTATCTCTGATATTTGGGCTGGCTCAAATGCTAATGTTTTTGAGGTATTTCTGTCTGTAGGCCAGGCTGGCCTTGAACCCACTATCATTCTGCCAGTGCTGGGATTACAGGCAGGTTCACCATACCACTATCAGCTCAGTGCCAACTCTAGCATGGACCATCCCTCTCCTGTGACTATTCAGAAGCTCCAGAAGCAGCATGCATCCCCTCTGGGGTTCTCTTCCCCTCTTTTCTCATCCAGCTTATTCTGGAACTCACTATGTAGCCCAACCCTGATACCCCTGCCTCAGCCTCTCAAGTGCTGGGATTACAGGCATGAAGCTCCATTTCCCCTTCCGCTTTTCTGAGCATGGGATGTCAAATGGCCACCGATGACCAGTCAGAAGAGACTGTCTCTAGCTGTATTTTTTGTTAAGTTTTTTCTTTTATTGAAAATAATTTTTTTCCTTATACAATATATCCTGATTATGGTTTCCCTTCCCTCTACTCCTCCCAGTTCCTCCCCACCTCCCCTTCCATCCCAATCCAGTGCCTTTCTGTTTCTCATTAGAAAACAAACAGGTTTCTAAGGCATAATAATAAAATATAAAAAGATAAAGCAAAAACTAACACATCGGAATAGGACACAAAACAAACAGAGGGAAAAGAGCCCAGGAAAAGGCACAAGGAACAGACATGGATACAGAGATCCACTCGTTCACACAGTTCACACACTCCAGAACCCCACAAAAGACACAAAACTGAAGCACAAGATATATATGCAAAGAACCTGTAAGGGGGAGAGAGAGAGAGAGAGAGAGAGAGAGAGAGAGAGAGAGAGAGAGAGAGAGAGAGAGAGAGAAGTACATGAATAAAATAAGAAATAAAAAAGATTTAAAAAGGGAATTTTGAACAGGAGACTAACCTCTCAGCGGTACCCACGAATAACCCTGCGAACAGTTAAATAATTCCTTACAACATAGTGCTAACCAAAAAGCAAAATACCAAGTAAACCCAAGTCCATAAATGTACAAAACTGTTAGGAAAAGCAAGAAAGGTTACTTTATTGCCTGTCTAATAAATCATATATAGACATAGTTTAGGCTGACAAGCACCTTCTTGTTTCTGAGGATGATGAATTTAAAGAGAGTCTTGGCTGTCAAGCCCCGGTTCCCCACTGTGCTCTGCCCTCTGAATGGTTTCTAGGCATTCTTTTACAGCACCAACTCCCCCCTTCCTATTAAGACAGCCTGAAAAGGCCTTGGCCAGCTCTGCTCTGTTTGTCAATCAGCATTCACCTAGTACTCCTAGAGGGTGGGAGAAACCATGGCGACTGTGGTGTTACTGGCAGACGGAAGTTGTTTACTGGTCTTGGAGTCTATGGTAAGGAAGCTAATGAGCCTTCTTCCTTACCCAACAGCCGGCCACAGAGTTGGGAGCGAAAGCATTGGTATTCCAGGTGCCGATCAACCCAACACGTGTTTATGCCTGCTCATTGTGTGAAGAGCGTGTTGGGGGACAAGGAGGAGGGCCCCTGAAGTAGCAGGGAGAGCCCCAGAATGCACTCATAGCCTAGGAGCAGGCTGGAAGCGGGGATGGGGAGGGAATAGGTCTGCCTATGGCAGAGGGAAAAACTCCACAGTGCAGACTTTGAACCGGTCCAGAGGACAGGCTGAGAAGGGGACAGGCAGGCAGGACATTCCAGGGACACAGAGTTTTTGCAATGCCCAGAGGCAAAAATAAGTGGCTTCTGGAGGCAGCAGACACCAGAAGCCAGGAAGCAGTGACTGTGGAGACATGAATGAGAGATCATCAAAGAGGACTGTGCTGAGGGCAGAGAGGCGGGAAAGCCAGCGGTCCAAAACACCCATGGGTGCAGACAAAAACTCCCCAAAGCCCCACAAACTGCTAATGAATGAATTAGAAATAATCCCAGGAAAGCATTCTGTTTCTAGGGAAAGGACCAGGAAAAGGACTCTGAGTGAGACACAGCAGTGTTAGCTGCTACTGCCGCCGAACCAGTTACTCCAGAAAAGCTCCCCGCCAAGCCAGAGAAAGCCAGAGTATCTGGGTGAGACTGTAACAGGG